ATTTGTTGTAACAGTGGTTTGGTGGTGCTGAATTCTGTTAGCTTTTGCTTGTCTGTAAAGTTTGTAATTTCTCCATCAAATATGAATGAGATCCTTGCTGGGTAGAGTAATCTTGGTTGTACGTTTTTCTCTTTCATCACTTTAAATATGTCCTGCCACTCCCTTCTGGCTTGCAGAGTTTCTGCCAAAAAATCAGCTGTTAACCTTATGGGGATTCCCTTGTATATTATTTGTTGCTTTTCCCTTGCTGCTTTTAATATTTTTCCTTTGTATTTAATTTTTGATAGTTTGATTAATATGTGTCTTGGTGTGTTTCTCTTTGGATTGGACTCCCTGTGCCTCCTGGACTTGATTGACTATTTCGTTTCCATATTAGACAAGCTTTCAACTATAACCTCTTCAAATATTTTCTCAGTCCCTTTCTTTTTCTCTTCTTCTTCTGGGACCCCTATAATTCGAATGTTGGTGCACTTAATGTTGTCCCAGAGGTCTCTGAGACTGTCTTCAATTCTTTTCATTCTTTTTTCTTTTTCTGCTCTGCGGCAGTTATTTATAGTATTTTACCTTCCGGGTCACTTATCCGATCTTCTGCTTCAGTTATTCTGCTATTGATTCCTTCTAGAGAATTTTTAATTTCATTTATTGTGTTGTTCATCATTGTTTGTTTGCTCTTTAGTTCTTCTAGGTCCTTGTTAAACGTTTCTTTTACTTTCTCCATTCTATTTCCAAGATTTTGGATCATCTTTTCTATCATTACTCTGAATTCTTTTTCAGGTAGACAGCCTATTTCCTCTTCATTTGTTTGGTCTGGTGGGTTTTTACCTTGCTCCTTCATCTGCTGCATATTTCCCTGTCTTATTTTGCTTAACTTACTGTGTTTGTGATCTCCTCTTCACCGGCTGCAGGTTTGTAGTTCCCACTGCTTTTGGTGTCTGCCCCCAGTGGGTAAGGTTGGTTCAGTGGCTTGTGTAGTCTTCCTGGTGGAGGGTTCTGTTGCCTGTGTTCTGGTGGATTAGGTTGGATCTTGTCTTTTTGGTGGGTAGGACCATGTCCAGTGTTGTGTTTTCGTGTGTCTGTGACCTTATTATGATTTTAGGCAGCCTCTCTGCTAATGCGTGGGGTTTTGTTCCTGTCTTGCTAGTTGTTTGGCATGGGGTATCCAGCACTGTAGCTTCCTGGTTGTTGAGTGGAGCTGTGTCTTAGTGTTGAGACAGAGATCTCTGGAAGATCTCTCACTGACTGATATTACGAGGGGCTGGGGGCTCTCTGGTGGACCAGTGTCCTGAACTTGGCTCTCCCACCTCAGAGACTCAGTCCTGACACCTGGCTGGAGCACCAAGACACTGTCAGCCACATGGCTCAGAAGAAAAGGGTGAAAAGAAAAAAAATGAAAGCAAGAAAAAAATAATAAAATAACGTTATTAAAATAAAAAAATATTATTAAAATAAAATAATTAAACAGTAACTTAAAAAAAAAGAGAGGGAGCAACCAACCAATAAAGAAATCAACCAATATAACAAGAACTAAAAACTATACTAAAAAAAGAAAGACAGAACCTTAGGACAAATGATAAAAACAAACCTATACAGACAAAATCACACAAAGAAGCATACACATACACACTCACAAAAAGGAAAAAGAAAAAATATATATATATATATAAAGGAAGAGAGTATCCAAATCAATAAACAAATCTACCAGTGATAATAAGCTCTAAATACTAAACTAAGATAAACATAAAACTAGAAACAAATTAGACAGAGAAAGCAAACCCCTAGTCTACAGTTGCTCCCAAAGTCCACCACCTCAATTTTGGGATGATTCGTTGTCTATTCATATATTCCACAGATGCAGGGTACATCAAGGTGATTGTGGAGATTTAATCCGCTGCTCCTGAGGCTCACGGAGAAATTTCCCTTTCTCTTCTTTGTTCACACAGCTCTTGGGGTTCAGCTTTGGACTTGGCCCCATCTTTGCATGTAGGTCACCCTCTGGCATCTGTTCTTCACCCAGACAGGAGGGGGTTAAAGGAGAGGCTGATTCGGGGGCTCTGGTTCACTCATGCCAGTGGGGAGGAAGGGGTACAGAATGTGGGGCGAGCCTGAGGTGGCAGAGGCCAGCGTGATGTTGCAATAGCCTGAGGCGTGCCATGTGTTCTCCCAGGGAAGTTGTCCCTGGGTCCTGGGACCCTGGCAGTGGCGGGCTGCACAGACCCCCCAGGTGGGGAGGTGTGGACTGTGACCTGTGCTTGCACACAAGATTCTTGGTGGCTGCAGCAGGAGCGTTAGCGTTTCATGCCCGTCTCTGGTGTCTACGCTGATAGCCATGGCTCGCGACCGTCTCTGTAGCTCGTTTATGCAGTGCTCTGAATCCCCTCTCCTCGCACACCCCAGAACAATGGTCTATTGACTCTTAGGCAGTTCCAGGCTTTTTCCCAGACTCCCTCCCAGCTAGCTGTGGCACACTAGCCCCCTTCAGGCTGTGTTCACACAGCCAACCCCAGTCCTCCCCCTGGGATCCTACCTCTGAAGCTGAAGCCTCAACTCCCAGCCTCCACCCGCCATGGCAGGTGATCAGACAAGTCTCTCGGGCTGGTGAGTGCTGGTTGGCACAGATCCTCTGTGTGGGAATCTCTCCGCTTTGCCCTCTGCACACCTGTGGCTGCGCTCTCCTCTGTGGCTCTGAAGCTTCCCCCCCTCCTGCCCATCCCCCATCTCCACCAGTGAAGGGGCTTCCTAGTGTGTGAAAACCTTTTCTCCTTCACAGCTCCCTCCCAGAGGTGCAGGTCCCATCCCTATTCTTTTGTCTCTGTTTTTCCTTTTTTCTTTTGCCCTACCCAGGTACATGGGGAGTTTCTTGCCTTTTGGGAAGTCTGAGGTCTTCTGCCAGCATTCAGTAGGTGTTCTGTAGGAGTTGTTCCACATGTAGATGTATTTTTGATGTATTTGTGGGTAGGGAGTGATCTCCATATCTTACTCCTCCACCATCTTGAAGGTCCTCTCTGTCTCTGTGTTTTGAGCTCTCTGACTTTATTGTAAATTCCCACATTTTGTTTGGTGATACTTCTTGGTAAGTCATCCTATTCTGTTGAAAAGAGGAGAAAACATGTGATGTTGGGAACAGCTGTTGGAAAACTGGGCCCCTCATAGTTAAGACGTGTTAGGGAATTCTAAAGGCAAAATGGGTTCCACCTGGTCAAAAACTCTTTCTCCACCTCCCTCCAAAACTCCTGCTTCCTATAGGTATAGCCACTAAGGACCAAGATATTGTGTTTTCTTGGAAAATGGGTAAACTTTTGGATCATTTGGAATTGCAGCGGCCACTTTGGGGAAACTTTGACTTAGATAAACCTACCTTAAGGAGCACCCATGAAAAGAGAAGATCTTAAACTCCTCGGTCACAATGGAATGCCTTATTTGATTGGTATACAGATGCTTCCAAAAGAAAAATGACACCAAACATAGCTTATCTAAAAGAAGTGTGCCTGAGGTCTTGGACCCCACTGTATCAGTTAACCAGATAGTTTACATTAAAATGTGAAGACCTCTTTCTCTGGGCTTGAGGCCCTAGGCCATTCTATATCAGTTTGACCTGGGGGTGTGGGAGGGAGGAATGGGGGCAGGAGGACAAAGTAGCTAAGGTAAGTCACACAGGTGCTACATGCCTATGTGATTGACCCCCAGTAAAATACCTGGACACCAAGGCCTAGGTGAACTTCCCCATTTAGCAACACTTCACACATGTTGTCACACATCATTGCTGGGAGAATCAAGCATGTCCCTATGCAACGCCACTAGCAGCGGACACCTGGAAGCTTGTATCTTGTTTCTCCTGGACATCATCCATGTGCTTTTCCCCTTTGCTGATTTTGATCTGTATCTTTTCTCTGTAATACATCACAACTATGAGTATAACAGCCTTTCTGAGTCCTGTGAGTCCTAGTGAGTCATCAAGCATGAGGTTGGTCCTGAGACTCCAAACTTTTGGAGGTCCATAGCCCTCCAAAAGTTTGTTCTTTAATTGGTTACTCATTCTTTAGAAAATAATTTACTCAAAGAAACAACAATACAGAGTGGTTGAGTTTTCAGGAGAAAAAAAAAACATTTAAATCATCATGAAGTAGAAATTAATTTAGCATGCACTTATTTTTTGAACTGATCCACTTGCCTTTTACCACTTATGTTCTTACACTTCTTACACTTTGTTCCCTAAAAAAAAAATATGTTTTGGCTACACCAGGGATTAACAGTGCAATGTTGGCAAGCTGGTCTGGGGCCCTAAGCTCCTTTTTTTAATCTTCTTTACAACATGATTTCTTTGGGAAAATAAATCCTGTAACAGAGAGGGAGAAAGGAATACAACAGGTCAAAGAACACTTACCTCCACGCACCTCCTCCCATTACAAATCTAGTAACTATTAGCCACCCAGAATCCATCAAAAAATAACTCTCTCACTTTTGGAGGAGGACTCTGATGCCACCCATTAAGGCTGCTGACCACCACATATTAGCCTGCCCGACATCAAAGATGATCAGCCAGCAAGAAATAGAACTGTTTCTCCACATCCTTCTTCTTCATGCCTCCAAAACATACTCCTTGCTTCCCAGTTCCAGGTGGGCCTAGGTCAGTCATTTCTATGTGTAGGTCAGATATGTGAAACTCAGATTTACTTTGAAATGCATGTCAAGCTAAACTTAATTTCAAAATATATATACAATGCACAGCAAAGGAAACCATAAACAAGACAAAAAGACAATCCTCAGAATGGGAGAAAATATTTGCAAATGAGGCAACGGACAAAGGATTAATCTTCAAAATATACAAGCAGCTCATACAGCTCAATATCAAAAAAACAAACAACCTAATCAAATAATGGGCAGAAGACCTAAACAGACATTTCTCCAAAGAAGACATACAGATGGCCAACAAACACATGAAAGGATGCTCAACACCACTGATTATTAGAGAAATGCAAATCAAAACTACAATGAGGTATCACCTCACACTGGTCAGAATGGCCATCATCAAAAAATCTACAAGCAATAAATGCTGGAGAGGGTGTGGAGAAAAGGGAACCCTCTTGCACTGTTGGTGGGAATGTAAATTGATACAGCCACTATGGAAAACAGTATGGAGGTTCCTTAAAAAACTAAAAATAAAATTACCATATGACCCAACAATCTCACTACTGGGCATATACCCAGAGAAAACCATATTCAAAAAAACACATGCACCCCAGTGTTCATAGCAGCACTATTTACAATAGCCAGGACATGGAAGCAACCTAAATGTCCATCAACAGAGGAATGGATAAAGAAGATGTAGTACATATATACAATGGACTATTAATCAGCCATAAAAAAGGAACGAAATTGGGTCATTTGTAGAGACATGGATGGACCTAGAGAATGTAATAGACAGTGAAGGAAGTCAGAAAGAGAAAAGCAAATATCGTACAATAACACATATATGTGGAATCTAGAAAAATGGTATAGATGATCTTATTTGCAAAGCAGAAATAGAGACACAGACATAGAGAACAAATGTATGGATACGAAGAGGGAAAGGGGAGGGGGAGGGAGGAATTGGGAGACTGGGATTGACACATATACATTATTGATACTATGTATAAAACAGACAACTGATGGGAACATACTGTATAGCACAGGGAACTCTACCTAATGCACTGTGGTAACCTAAATGGGAGGGAAGTCCAAAAGGGAGGGGATATCTGTATGTGTATGGCTGATTTATTTCGTTGTGCAGTGGAGGCTAACACAACATTACAAAGCAACCATACTCCAATAAAAATTAATAAAAAAATTTTAAAAAAATATATATAATGGAATATTATTCATCCATAAAAAAGAATGAAATGCCATTTGCAGCAACATAGATAGACCTAGAGATTATCATACGAAGTGAAGTAAGTCAAACAGAGAAAGATAAATATCATATGATATCACTCATATGTGGAATCTGATTTTTAAAAATGATACAAATGTACTTATTTATAAAACAGATTCACAGACTTCAAAATAAAACTTATGGTTACCAAAGGGGAAACACGGCGGGGAGAGATAAATTAGGAGCTTGGGATTAACATACACACACTACTATATATAAAATACTAAATATAAAGTAACCAACAAGGACCTACTGCATAGCACAGGGAATTCTCCTCAATATTCTGTAATAACCTATATGGGAAAAGAATCTGAAAAACAGTGAATATATGTATATGTATAATTGAATCACTTTGCTGTACACCTGAAACTAACATAACATTGTAAATCAACTATACTCCAATAAAATTTAAATATTTATATAGTACATATACATTCCCTCTGAGGGTTTTTCTTGCAATTAATTCACAATGCTGAAGAAAAGTGAAGTCCACGTCGAGCTTTTGAGGCATGCCAAGTTCTGAAGTTTCCCTTTCATTCTCCTCCAGCATTATCACTCAGGATCCGTAAGAGTTCATACCCTAGTCAATTAAAGATATTTTTCATACTATCTCCCCATGAAATGCTTATTACTCCATTATCCTCTAATGGAAGCAGAGATTGGATTGATGTGCTTTGGAGATGGAGGAAGGGACCTTAAGCCAAGGAACAGAGGCAGCTACTAGGAGCTGAAAAAGGCAAGGAAACCTATTCTCCTCTCAGAGCCTCCAGAAGGAACCAGCCCTGCTGACACTTTTGACATTAGCCCAGTGAAACTGATTTCAGACTTCCGACTTCCAGAACCTCAAGAGAACAAATTTATCGTGTTGTAAGCAACTAAGTTTGTGGTAATTTGTTTTAGCAACTGTAGAAAATGTACCATATTTATGGACCAAAATGTTCTTCTCTGTGGGAAGAAGCACAAAATTCTGTTGGGGGTAGGGGGCAGGGCTCCTCTGCAAGCACGTAGATTAACTTCATTCAAAAGCTATTTTACACACAGCCTTCCTTTCTGAGTGCTTAAATTAGAGCTAAACTATCACAGGAAGGAAAAAAATAGCATTTGGTGAATTTTTAAAATTATAACTTATCTTAAAGATATTTGCCATGGCTAGAGACAGTCTTTGTGGGGCAATTGGCCTTTAAACAGAGAAAATAATGATCCAAGTTTCAGATTCCTGCATTAAGGTTTATTACATGCGATGTCTGGGTTATATTAAACTCCTGGAAATCAGGGTTTATAATGGAATGGCTGACATACCCTTAACTTTAATAGCCTTTCCAAGTACTGCAATAGTGAGCATTACTTTTTAATGTCATAAAATGATGGTTAAAACACTACAGAATTTTCTCAAGACAGATAAGCAGGTGTTCAAGAGAGCAGAACTATTTAAACTTCATTGATTTATGGTCTTTCTTATATTGAAGGCCAAAAGTTTTATTGAATTCCCACAGTAGATACTCTGAACTTAATTTTCTAAAATAGTAGGAGTATTTCAGCGTTCCCCATATATATTAACTTCTTCATTTTAACACTTGTGCTTCTGTATTTTTAAAGTTACTAGGCATAATGAAATAGAAGCTATAGCCAAAAGTGTCAGTTATTCTACGTTTTCTTTTTATTGGTTGACTTTTCAAAGTACATTGTGTGTAGTAAAACCCAATGCATGGCTACTAAATCATATAATCTAGGAACACAAGCCCCCAACTAATCATTTAAGCTGCACAATATTTCTGTCACCCTTTAGCACTGTGAATATGACATAACTTCTTATTTAGTGTGAAAGAATGTCAAGGCATTTATCATCACTCCTTCCCTCCCAGTTGCTCTTTCAACCCACCCCTAACCCGATATCTCCAATCTTTATGCTGCCTGCCAAAAGTAAAGTGGCTATCAGAAACGCCCCAATAAACTATCAAACATTTAATATGATCTGTTAGCATTTTCTGCTGGTTTACATAAAAATCAATACTTTTATAACTCTAGGACACAACCCTAACGATTTAGTGAAACTGATGTTTACTGTTGAATAAAATAGAAAGACCATTAGCTCTCAAAACCAAATAACATTAGAGAAAGCTAGAAGCAAAATAACTACTATTATTTAGATATGTGGATACCAAAGCATCTGAAACCCCAACTTGTTTTAGTACTGACTATAATAGCAATAAATCCCTCTTGGGAGAGGAATAGTTGGAGGGTGAGTCAGGCAGTGTATGAATAAACTCACAGCTTATAATGCATTAACTCCTTTGCTTTCCTCTCTATGTTCCCAGGCTCTGACAACAAAATGAGTCAAAGCTAGGAAATAAAACAGTGTTAGAACCATGTCAAGAAGAAAATGGCAACACATTATCAAAAAATGTAAAACATAGCCAGTAACAGTTCAGGGAAGCTTAGAATCCACCTGGTTTAATCAACATATCTATGTAACTTCTACTCATGTGAACAATTTTGTTATAATCCAAGAACATACCAAAAACATGTCCCTCTAAAAATAGATATGGGGGAGAGATAAATGAGGAGTTTGGCATTAGCATATACACACTACTGTATATAAAATAGATAACCAAAAAGAACCTACTGTATAGCACAGGGAACTATACTCAATATTTTGAATTAACCTATAAGGGAAAAGAATCTGAAAAAGAATAGATACATATATGTGTATAACTGAATCACTTTGCTATACACCTGAAACTAACACATTGTAAATCAACTATACTTCAATTAATTTCTTTAATTAAAAAAATAAAAATAGATATCAATATGCGGTTGTTCTAAAATGATGGGTCCAATGCCAGAGCATATGCTGATATTCTTTCAACAAAATCATTTTTATTATTTAGTCAAAATCAGTCTGCTTGGGCTTCCCTGGTGGCGCAGTGGTTGAGAGTCCGCCTGCCGATGCAGGGGACACGGGTTCGTGCCCCGGTCCAGGAAGATCCCACGTGCCGCGGAGCGGCTGGGCCCGTGAGCCATGGCCGCTGAGCCTGCGCATCCGGAGCCTGTGCTCCGCAACGAGAGAGGCCACAACAGTGAGAGGCCCGCGTACTGCAAAACAAACAAACAAACAAAAAACCAGTCTGCTTCACTGAAATTTCTCATGGCTCCTTCAATTCCAAATACCAAGCAATTGGATTGAAAGGGAAGCCTTCATTTTTGAATAAATAAGAGATGCACAGAACAGTTTAAGTTTCTTCTTGGTCGAATCTGTAAAACATAAAGATACGCAGTTATTTTCGTTGTTTATAAGATTGTGTCTTTGTTTTGTTTAAAAACATCATTCAAACAGGAGTATAATCAAATGGAACTTTCCTCCCATAAAAATGGTCAGGTATTTGAACAAATTCCCCTGCGCTATTTCTCATCTGCTTTGTCAAGCAGAAGGTATGGAGCAGTGAGAAGACTAAAGGTCAGAGAAGCTGGAATTCTAACCCTCTTCCGTTATTGGAAAACTCTGCCAGAGGGCCAGTATCACTTTGCCACATAACAACATTCACTGTGCCCTAACTTGAGTTATAACAACTTCTCCCACTTCAATACCCCTTTCTTCTACAGGTAATTCCTATATTCAAATTTCCTAAAATAATCCTCCAGGTTCCAAATTGTTTTTGGACACTTTGTGACAATAGGAAGTTTTCTAGTTTAGAGAACTTTCAACATGCCTTTCCTCTGAAATGAAATTTCAGACTTTGATCGTATAAGGTCTCTTATTTCTTTAAGTTTAATGTGGCGTTATTAGGGATGGGAGAAGGGTTAACTTACCATTTTATTTTGAAAATATATATGAGAAAATAATGAATAGCTACATCTGGAATTTTTTTTAATTTGAGGAAGTCAGGTAATTATGTAATAATTCTAAAATTAAATAGTGAAATTATATGCATGTGCTTTTAAAGATTCTAATTATAATGTTGTCCCAGCTGATCTGTATTAATTAAAGTAAATTTTAATAGTAAGTACACAACAAGGATGACTTTCTTCTTTGGTGTCCTTACCTAATATTTCCAAGATCGATAGATGGATGGATAGAAAGAAATATATGTATAGATACAAAAATATTATTAACTATGGCTGTCATTTGAATCAATTGTCTGAGAAAGACTATGGTATTCCTCTAAGAGAGACAACTACTTTTTTTTAGGAAACTACCTTAACAGACTATTAGCATCTGAAATATGGGTCCGCTAGGCAGATGGAAGAAGTTTAGAAAAGAAAGACTTAAGTTACTCTGTGTGATGTAGTAGAGCATTTGGAGGTATCCACCAGTGCTTTAGGAAAGGAATTGGGGCCCTGAAAGGGTAACTGGAAGAAGTGTCAAGAAAGAGGGAACCCAACAACATGGCAGAGCCAGATTACACAGTGGGGCATGGTCTTGCAGGAACTGTAGATACATTTCCAAGAATAATGTTACAATTAATAGATGTTTCCTATCTACGTGGTATGGACTCTCTACTCTCCCCAAACTTTAGCTAAAATCTATTTTAAGTAGGGACACTGGCAAAGTGAGCTGAGACCCAAGTGATGAATTGAGGAGAGTGGGAAAGGCAACGGAGTAAAGCAACTGACGACCAGATGGACGACAATCCCCCACTTCCCACGTGGACAACAGGAAGTTGACTCCTGCAGGGAGTGCATGAAGAGGAGGAAGAGGCTACATCCTGCCATCCAGAGCTGAGGTCCATTAAGTCAGCAGAAATGTAAGTGATGTTAGGGGAGAAGAAGGTCCCAACAAGAACCTACACTATGCCTCTCCCTGGAGTTGAGAAGTCTCTGGGTGTGTCTGGAAAACTGGGAATACAGGCATAAAGGAGTCAATCTGAGGATCTAGCATGCCTTTGACTTCTTGTCCGCATATAAACACATCTATACCAGCTTAACACACACACACACACACACACACACACACACACACACACACACACAGATACACATACACAATAAACACTCTATCGGGACTTTAATCACCATCTTGTTTCATTTCTTCTCACCAGAAGAAGTTCTAATATACATTAGAAGAATTGTCTACAAAAGCTATCTCCACCTCCTCACCTTACATCCTCTTTTTAATCCATACCAATCTACTTCCATTATCATTGCTTTCACAAAATTGATTTCAATAAGTTCACAAAATGACCATCTTTTAAATTCTACAGTTAGTGAATACCATTTAGTAATTGTCTTTATTTGAAAATAGACAATTACTAAATGGTATTCACTACAGTTAGTGAATACCATTTAGTAATTTTCTATTTCAAACAGAGACTCTAACAATTAATTTGAAAATGAAAGAGTTAATGATCAGTGGTTCCAATTTAACAAGTAAAGACAATTTCTTATGTCACAGTGGGTTTCTTCTTGTAAAAACTAACTGGCACTTTTTCATCCTTATCTTACTTGCACTCTCTGCTTCATTTGGCGCTCATGATCCCTCTACCCTATTTTGAAACTCTGTCTTCAACTTCCTCTTGTAACTTTGGGCTTTTCTTTTCAATTTCATAAGCTCCACTTCCACTGTACAGCTCTTGAATAATGGTATCACAGTAAGAGAGAGCAAAATGCATTCTGAGTCCTGCAAGAGGCTCGGTACGACTAGATTACAGAAGGTGGGGTAGGGTATAGTGAAAGATCAACTGGATAGGTGATGAGGGGTCAGATCATAAAGGGTTTTACAAGCCAGAGTAAGATGCTCAAGTTTTACCCTCAGATCAATAGACAGTCATTGAAATGGGTGATGATAAGTTTGGAATGATAAATGAGATTTTTCATCTTAGAAGGTCACTCTGGAGAAAGAATTGAGTATGTAAAGACTGGAAGGAGGAAGACCAGGTAAAGAGATGCTGTGATCATTCAAATGGGTAATTATAGTGGTCGGGACGTACACGTCTTATGGAAAATGGAGATAAAAGAAGTGGACAGATTCAAGAGATATTCAGGAAGCTGAATTGACAGAACTGGATGGCTGATTGAATGAAGAGAAAAGAGTTGAGAATGACACCCAGGTTTTTGGCTTGGAACACCAAGTGGATGGTCAGGCCACGCACTGATATAACGTATATGGGAGGAAGAAGAGAAGGTGACTGGAAGAGGTGGGCTGATGATTAATTAAGTCTGGGCAGGTTAAATTTAAGGTCTCTCCACCCAAGTGGAAATGTCCAGTACACAACTGATATATGCATCAGAATCTCAGCAGAGAGATTTGGACTGAAATATAATTTTGGAGATCATGAGAGTATAGAAAACAACTGGAGACGTGAGTTTGATCATTGAGCCCCTACTCTCCTGTATTCACCTCTTTCACATCAAACTGTAAGAACATAACCACGGACTGATCAAACAGTTGGGTTGAGAGCTCTAACGCTTGATGAGAAATTAATTAAAGGGGCCCAACTGGAGGTTCAAAAGCTAAATCTAGGTTTTTTGATGTCTTCTACCTGGATCTGTAAACATTAGAAGAGAGAAGGGCCAGGATGAACAAACAGAACAAGTGACCTCAGAAGAACCAAAGACAATTCACAGTACAAAAGAGAATTGTTTAAAAACTCTCATTGGGAACAGCAGGGATTTGAGAGAACATTATATCCATTACAAATGAAATAAAATAAAAGCAGAAGCTGCTATGATAGGAAATATCAGAGAACAAGAAAATATTCCTCAAAATCAAAAATATTAGCTTCAAAATAAAAAATTGACAGAAATTATAGAAGAAAAATTTAAGTAAATGTCCCAGGGTGTAGAATAAAAAGGCAAAAATGGGGTATGAGAAAAAGCATTTAGAAGACACAGAATCAATTCAGGAGGTCCAACATCCAGTTAATTTACTCAAAGTGCATTTAGATGCTCAAAGCAGCTTCTTTATTTCTTATAGATAGGTAATCCCATGATCCTCATGCACCCCCACCTGGTCAGTTGCAGAACCTATATATTAGTCCAAAACAGTAAATTCAACCCATTGCAATAATTTTAAAGCTCCTTTAGTAAAACTTCACCCTTTTGATTTCCTCTCCTTTCCTCTGCTTCTCCAAGATGGCAGGCAGTTAGGGAAAAGAAAAGTGTGTCATCTGTACTTCAAGGCAATGTGATGGAGGGCAAAATAGAGTCCTTGGATCCACGAGCATTCTCCTCTTGTACATCTCAACTACTGAGTACCAGGGTTGGTAGATCACCTCTTTCTGTCTCCAGGTGTTCTAGAATCTGCTCCCATTGTCTGTGCCTGGTATCTTTTGGCTGGATAAGGGCCAGCCCTGCTGGTGCTCCTGACTAGTGTGGCCTTACCCCAGTTGTTAAATGGCATGAGGAGCTCTCTGATCCTCTTCTTTGTGCCCCACTTGGATCCTGGCCATCATAGCTTCTGAACACCATGGCTTCTGCTGCTGGGGCACCTCACCACTTGCCACAATAGGCCAGAGCCTACTGCCTTTCAGCTCAACCAGCTTCTGTATCTCTTCTGGGAACTCAGGAGTGCTTGGAAAATAAACTGTGACTTCTTCCTCCTAACCAGGCTGGGCCACTGAATTTATCTTGGTGTCACCATTACCCAAATTGGTTCATGAGGCTTACAAACACCTTCTTCTACTGCCCCAGTCAAGGAACAAGCATTCCCCTTAACCTATTCAGCATGAGCTCCGCACTGTAGTGAAAAGCCCAGAGAGTACAGATCAAGTCACATCTGCCACTTTGGTCTCCTGTATCCAGCAACCACCCCACAGGAAGAAGAGAAGCAGGTTTGGAACATTTGATCTCTCTGCTGTGGTCCTCCTTTGCACTACTTTAGGTATATAATTTTCTATGGTCTTATCCACTAAGCCTGCCTTTTGATGTGTTAGAGAGGTAAGTAAAGGAATTTGGGAAATTTTTGTCTCTCTCAGAGATCGCTAGATTCCAAGTCTATCACTTTGCTTTGAACTCAAGCATCCCTTGTAAGTATCAGAAGCTGAATATAGACTCTTTGCATTGCTACTGTAAAAATTCTAACCCTACTCCTTAAAGCAAAGTGATGCTTCAAGTTAACCGGAGAAAAGTCCATGTACACAGAACAGCAAAAGAAGAGGGAATATTAATATTTTTTAATATACTCTCCTGCATTAACCTACTCTCTTGAGACTCTAACTCTCCTGCATTAACCTACTCTCTTAAGAATCTAACATACTTTATTGAGCTTTAATGGCTACCTCCGGGAGCATGGCTGTGGGAGTAGGAAGGAATGGGGAACTAGACAGTTGGAATTTTTCCTGTGTCTCATAATATGCATTATTTTAGTATTTTAATTAAGACTTTTGTACCATAGGGAATTAGGAAAATACTTTTGCCCGTACTTTGGGAAGGAATACCTCTTTGCCCAACAGTGTCACCTCGCTCATACCAGAAAGATGGTGATAGAAGTAGAGACTGGCAAACAACCTCTGTGTTTAGTGGAATGTCAATCGCAGGGGGCAATGCAATAGCATGACTAGCAGGCCAAAGCTAAGCCCCATGGAGCCTCTGCTTGAGCACATATAATGTAATATCCTAGCCTCACAAATAGCTATGGGACAAATCTCAGATAAGTGTTTCTAACATTCAAGCTGATCCAAGTTGGGGCTTCTGTAGTTTGACTTACACTTACACTCTTCCTCCTAGACAGCTCTTGAAGCCCCCTACTTCTCCTTTCCTCTGCCCTTATCATTATCCAAGCCTTTATCACTTCTCACCTTAATCAATGGGCTTTTGCCATTTCATACCTTGTCCTCAGCTCTATACCTGCTACCCTTGATAAATGTTTATTAAAGTGAATGAATAAATGGATGAATGCCTGATTTTGAGTCACTGAAATCTAGCTGGCATCCTCCATGCTCGCTACCCTCCTAGTTATTTAATAAAGAAAAATAATTTTTGTTATAAAGCATTTCTTCAGTACTTGAAATGTTTCCCTTTTACAAAGGGAAATTTCTACTTAATTGATAAGATGTATATTTTAAATCATGATAGTATATTTTGAGCCATACATGTGACATTAAAATATTTACTTAAGTACATGATGTTTCTGCACACTTTTCCTAATCATTAATTTCCCCAAATAATTCATTTGACCAATTAATATACAATTTTAATAAAGCAAAAAATATATTGATCTGATTCTTTAAATGTTGTGATAAATAAAACAGCTGCTCCTGAAGAACTGTAGGTAGTATATATAGGCTGCTATCTTGTTTTGAAGTAAAATTATCCTTAAGTCCTTGTTAAATAGTAATGCATTACAAGAACAGAAAGGAAATACTTTATAATAGAACTAGAAATAACTCAGTAGACTTTTGAATAAAAATTTACTTTGAAGGTGGCTTCGAAATTATTAAACTATATCCTGCTCCTCTCCACAGGCACATACGTCACATAGAAAATCTCTCTCTCTCTCTCTCACTCTCACTCTTGCTCTCTCTGTAACTTTTTGAGGTTCATAATTTGAAAACTGAAATTTCTCTGTGACCTTGAAAAAGAATTCTTGCCTAACCAAGGAGAAGGGTGGATTTGGGGAGTTGAGATTATTAATAATATTACAGGATGAAACATATAGAGATGCTTTCAGAGGTTAATCAGGCTGCAAAGTTAGTCACTAGACTTGCTGGCGAATTATCAGATCACTGAAGTCCTGATTCCAGTACAGAAATATGACCTTATTCAATCATTATTCACAGAAAAGGGAGGGGCAGATGCTCTAAACTGCACTGGTGGGAAGTTTTCCTCTACTCTATTTATTCTCAAAACAATACTTGGCCAACTGATCTTTTTAAATCTGCTAGTGTGATAGTTCTTATTTTTACAGGCCACTCTAATCATCTTTTTTGCCAGCCTGGGGATTAATCCCAAACAATTATCCCAAACAATCAGGATAGTTGGCAATAACTTCAGGGTAATTTAGATGCCTTGAAATCTCTGACTTGTAAAACCATCAGTTCATCCAACTCTGACATCATTAAGTAAGACTATTCTTTTTATCAGTGAAATCACTTGGTTCTTTCCAAGCTCTGCCCTCCCAAGTTCTGCATAAAGTATTATTTAAAATGTATAAATTATTACCATGGGATATTACGAACAAATAATTAGAAGAACAAGCAGACTCTTATGCTCTGCCATGCCATGACTTACCCATTTTTGAATTAAGTATCGAGTCTTGTCACCTTCTTGGATTAGCTTTATATGAAGTAGCCTCTTCTTCAGAGAGGTAAATCTATTTTAGACAATGACATTTGCTCATCAATATGTGGCTTAAAAAAAAAAAAATGAAAGAAAGCACCTGAGCCTTCAAATATAATAAGCTGAAACCTAAAATGGAATCACCTAAAAGTAGGAATACTAATTCGTATTAAAATCCACTATGTTTAAAATTTGAGCTGAATCAGGTACATTGTTGTAATTTCCTGAGCGTTTGTCTTGAAAACTAATTAGAAAATCTGGAGACAGTACTTGGTATTCCTAACATGTCCCAGAAGCCTTTGTGTTCATTCTTTCGATTCCAACGTCCCATTTGGAAGCAATCCAGAATCTAACAATAAAACAAGCTTGACTCACCAAGATTCACTTTCTCAATGTATATCAGTCAGGGAGACTATGGGAACAATGACTTGGTGTATGAGTGAGAGACAAAAAGTAAGAAAAGGTCTTCTATTACAATGACATATAAAACAGCTCTCCATCAAGAGTACATTTAGCTCTTTATAAAACAAACATGTTGTTTCTTTGCTTTTGTACACAGTTATGTCTTTAAACACGCAAGAGAAACCACACAGAATGAAGAACTGGATATCAATCATGTCAACATTATGCTCTGCTTATTCCTAAACCATAGGCTGGAATTGAGCTAACCTAAACTTCACTGAATGTTAATATAACAGCTGGCAACATACTTTCTTAAAAAAGGACTCCAAGAGTAATGAAAATGAAAATATAGCCCATGACATTGATCTAAGTTTTGACAGACGTTTTTGGTCAGCATAACATATGAGCTCAGAAATGAAGTTCCAGCCATGTATGTTTCAGAAAAGACTTCCTCTATAAATAAAGTTGTTATAGGAAATGACTAGCAGCATCATACCCTAAGCATCTTGGCCAATAATAAATTGAACATTAATGGAAACTGACTATTCCTTACATGTCCCCATAAGCTAACAGACTAAACATCCAAGGCATCTGGAATTACTTGCCCTGTTATGGGTTGTCATACAGTTTATCATCTCAGGGCCTATTTGGGGCTCTTAAAAGCCCCAGTAATTCTGCTGCAGAACTAAAATTCCATTTTGAGTAGCCGCAGGATTTGTTGATCAACAGGACAGGTGGAAAGAGAAGGGGCTTGATGAGAAGGACTTATCACCCTCTAATAATATGCACACAAGAGAAGGACGGGATGGATGCATTATTTTTAAATTGTGTCTGGCCAGCATGTCAGGACTGATTGAAGAATCCAGCAACAGTGAAAAGAGTCATGTCTGCCTTCAGACATGAAAAGCCAGTTATGCACTCTTATTTCTTGTCAACGGCTTAGATCGGTCTCTCATTTTTAGGACAAATAATAAGAAAAATCGTAAAGAAAATGTCAATTCCACCCCGCCATAAATTTAGCCAAAAAAGTTTTGTAACTAATAGCCTTCCTCCCCTTTCTGTAGAAAGGCAATATGGTGTGAAAATGTTTTCTCCTAAGTGATGGAATGTACAGTCATGCACCAGCAACTCAACTGGGTGCTGAATATCAACGTGCCTGTTCTGGAAGAAACTGCTCTGGGGTTAGAGGGAGCACACTGTTGGAAAGAGAGTCACTTCAGTGCAGGAGGGAAGCCGTGCATCTATTTCAGAAGATGGAGGTTTATCTTCCAGTGGAGGGCTTTGATACTATTCATATGCTAACAATATCACCATTTCCTCACAGCACTCAATACACAGGGAATAAAAGACGTCATTTGCTGACATGGGGCGCAACACTTTCTGTCCAGCATACTGATCAAAAATCTGCATTCAGCTTCCAAGGCGAAGCCACCACATAACCTTTAAATTGTTCTTTGAACACTTTAAATTTCTGGTCAAAATAATTTCCCATTTTAGAGAATAAAATGATGAAACAAAGAACTCTAACTGTATTTTCCCTCCGCTCCTAACACGTAGTTTTAGTGCCCCGAGGGCTCCTTTCATCTGGTCTAAGTGCTGGCATATGATGTGATTGTTAACAGAGCCGGCCACCAGATGAAGTGAATTATCTCAACTGCCAAAGCTCCCACTTTCTTTCCAATTTAAACATCAATTTAACACAGAAACTGAAGGGTATTATGAAAGCTTTAATATGAACCATTTCAGACATGAGGAAAAAAATACTGGAAGGTTTTTTCAAACTATCAAACAAATATGTAATTTTTTGAACCTGAAGATGAGTCAGGAAAACGAGTGGAACAGCAGAACACACAGGATACTCACTTTAACCGACAGCAAGAGAGAAGGACCTCTTTGTCTTAAATAAACATGCTTTTCAGAACAGGGAGGATTTTACTAAAGAAAATGAAATTGTGAGGTCATGAACTAAACACAGCGATCAACAGCAAAGAGAAGACTTCTGCTTTAAAACATTTCAAAATGCATATCATCAACCTGGACGATCTGGGATGTTTTTAGTGGTCTCCTCTGGATTATTAGGGTCCTTTTCATTATACAACTTGCCTTTCTCATGGAAATTTTTTCTCCATTTGGATCACTAGCTGGTAACAGAATGTGCTAGCATATGTCCCAAATACCTCTTTGAAAATGAGACCACTTCGTAGCTAACTCATAACAATAAAACTTGATGCTTTCTCACACAACATAGAGCTCTTCCTAGTATATGCCACAAAAATTAAAACATATACATTTATGTCAAAAGAATATGAATTATTATTTATCTTTAATCTTTTTAAGCCTTCATAATGAAAATGGTATTAATATGCAAAATGTGTAAATAACTGTGTTCACAATTAGAAAAATTTGCCCTTGTGAAAATATGAGATTTGAAGAACTGAAATAAGATTTGAAGAGTCATATTTAAATAAGATTTAATAATATACAAGTTAAATACATATGATTTTGCTAGCCAAAAACATTCTTAAAAGCTAAGAACATTATTACAGATTTTCCGCTGAAAAATACTACTCCTTAGAGTCAATTAACTACATAAGTAAATAAATAAATAAAGTTAGCCTTTTTACTATACAGAACTCTTCTAATCATCATTTCCATCTTAAAAGTATAATTTGGGAAGGTGCAAGACTAGGAAATATGTGTGCATTGATTGTACCATATAAGGATCGCATGGCTGTTCGCATATGGAATGCACACAGAACATTATTGACAAATTCAGAACAACCATATGCAATGCTCAATGGCACTTCCAAATATAAAATACAAATACAGTATGTAATACACTGAGAGCATGTTGCATACCAAATGATCAAGCAATTTACTGAAGATTAGCCTTTAAGAAACAAGTAACACTACAAATACCATATGTACCTGTTAATGATTTATTTTTTACATTGGTGATATTCATCAGATTGATCTTAAGTTAAAAACAAGTTTTCAGGGCTTCCCTGGTGGCGTAGTGGTTGAGAATCCACCTGCCAATGCAGGGGACACGGGTTCGAGCTCTGGTCTGGGAAGATCCCACATGCCGTGGAGCAACTAGGCCCGTGAGCCACAACTACTGAGCCTGCACGTCTGGAGCCTGTGCTCCGCAAAAAGAGAGGCTGCGATAGTAAGAGGCCAGCGCACCGTGACGAAGAGTGGCCCCCGCTTGCCGCAACTAGAGAAAGCCCTCGCACAGAAATGAAGACCCAACACAGCCAAAAATAAATAAAGAAATAAATAAAGTTTAAAAAAATAAACAAGTTTTCACAGAATATTCCGGCCGAGCACTCCTTGTGGTAAATTAAAGGAGAATTATAGAACCAGTTTGCCAAAAGGGACCTTAGAGATCACGTAATCTTATTTTTAAATGGAAAACTTGAAACCTCAAAACGTTAAGTTGCTCACCCAAGATTACAAAGTCCATTAATGGCAGAGTTCCAGGTCTCCTGGCTCTCAGGCCTGGCCCCAAATGAAAGCTACCCTAATTTGTTCATATTTACTCAAAACACATATATATTTGTAAATCTTCATAGGCTCATCTGGTTGCCCAGCACATCATCTGCAGGAACACCCAACTCTGGGGTCTGACAGGGCAACACTGTTCTATTCCCAGAGTGATTTCATTGACGATGACTCATACTTCCCTTCGGTTCACTGGGGAACAGAAGGAGATGCTGACCTCAGTAGAAAAACAGACATAGCTCCATGAAAGTCATAACAGAGCCTCAAACTGTTTAATTCTGAAATAAGCTCTGCAGAGAACGCCTTCAAGGGGATGTTTTACTCTTCCTCCAGACTGCTTTAGGAAGCACACCAAACGTGTGTCAAACTTCCTCCCCTACTGCCATCAGCCAGAACTGGAAGGCAGAGAAAAAGCCTGAAAATTAAAGCAGAATATGTGGCTCCCAACTGCACACTTCAGCATTACATAGCTTTCCACCCCACCTCCCTCTACAGCCTATCTCCTTCAGGCACCGCAGAGAATAGCCTCCCCCAGACCTCACCACCCATGAAAAGTGTTCAACCAAATCACTCAAGGGAACTTCCAGAAGTATACCTACATATAAAATACCAGCTGTAAGGAGATGTGGCCAATCATTCAGCATCCACTATTTTCCCCAACAGAACCTTGGGAAATGTCTGAACACCAAAATATCAAACATCCAGACAGATTTTTAGTAAATTAAAACAGTGCAAACAAACAAACAAAAAACAGTGCAGGGCTTCCCTGGTGGCGCAGTGGTTGGGAGTCCGCCTGCCGATGCAGGGGACGCGGGTTCGTGCCCCAGTCCGGGAGGATCCCGCGTGCCGCGGAGCGGCTGGGCCCGTGGGCCATGGCCGCTGGGCCTGCGCGTCCGGAGCCCGGGCTCCGCAACGGGAGAGGCCACAGCAGTGAGAGGCCCGCGTACCGCAAAAAAACAAAACAAAACAAAACAAAAAAAAAAAACAGTGCAATAACTGTTTCTTCCTGAACATCATCTTTTTCACTTCTAGGCAAACGCAGCTCCAGCCTAGACCATTCCCTCAAAACCAGGATTATAACAGGAATTCAGTGAGTTCCAGTGCAACACACTTGAACAATCATGCCAG